GCCTTATAAAATTAAAAACATAAAACTTATATACTGTTGAATTATGGATTATTAGCTAAGATTTTATGCTCTACTAATTGCTATAACATAAACAAAATGTAGATTAATAAAATTTTGAAGGTAAGTCACTAAAACCACGTGACATGCACAGTAAAGGATGCCAGTGGTGATAGGGTTAAATGATGATGTGTTGCTCTGTAGTTTACCATGTATGTCATAAATGCTTGTGAGGTCAGAATGCTAGAGATTCTATTTTGATAAATAAATGAGTAAATAAACATTCTCTGAAATAAATTATTTCTTTCACAATTTTAACATAGCTAACTTTATGACCCTGACTATGACTCATGGTTTTAAAAAATGACTCCTCATTTTATTTCATCTGGTGCATGATATTTTTTTACAATCTGAAGCACTGAACTTAACTTATTTTAATTCATTTATGCTTTTAAGGCAAGAATCAACCTGAACTCCATGAAAAATCATTGCCTACAATTAGTGATTTGTTGATACCAACAAAATCAACTATAAACAAGTCTTATACAAGTTCACCTGTTAGACACCAATGTCATCAGGAAGCACCATTTGTCAGTTCAAGTCCATCTTTGGCTGTACACATTTGCTGGGCAATCAAAGTAGTCTTTAGATACTATTTATAAAACTGATGTGAAGGTGTCAGCAGCATTTTTCAGTCTATGTTTGGTAACAGTGCAGTGGCTAAACAATTCACTTGTGGAGAAAGAAAAATGATATACCTTGCAACATTTGGGATAGTATCTCACTTTTTCTCAGCTAAAAAAACAAAGCCAAGCAGTAGTCAGGATATGTGTTGCTGTTTGATGAGAGTTTGAACAGTAAGGTGTAAGGAAATCAATGAGAGATGCATGTCAGATTCTGGAGTGAGAATTGTGTCCATTCAAAATACCTGACTTCATAGGTCATCATATATCTGAATAGATGTGTGAAAATATGAAGCAGTGTATGGGTACTTTGGCTTCAATAATATTGTGGATTGACCTAATTTTAACTAGAAGCTGTACTCCATGTTACAAGAAATTGTTAAAAGCAAACAAGTAAGAAATGCTCAATATGGAAAGCTGTAGCTTACATGTACTGTACAATTAATTTAGAGCTGTATGTGCAGCAACAGCTTAGGAAATTGACCATGCTCTTTCAGTTGTATAATAGCTCTTTAAAGATTCACCAACTCATTGTGAATATTTCATAACTGTGTCAGGATGTATACCGTTTCCCTTGGATTTTTGCAGACACAGATGGCTTGCTGAGAGAATCTTTCAGATCATACCTATGATAAACAGTTTGTTATTGCAGAAAGCCTGGACACATTAGAGCAAAACAACAAATCATATAGGCATGTCCAGACAGTTATTAAAGATATTTGTTTCAAAGTAAAGCTAAATATTTTCTTGATGATTATTAGAAAAGTTGCACCATTCTTGAAACTTCATCAAACAGACAAACCAATACTGCCATTTCCTTGCAATGACATGACATCTTTGACCAAGAGAGTGATGGAAAGGCTCATCAAATGTGAAGAAATAAATAATGGCCTATCTACATTTAAACTTCTGAAAACTGATACCCAAAATACACCATTCCACATAGATGTGTCCAGACTGAAGATTGGCTTTCTAACAGAAAGAAGTCTGGTGAAACTCAAAGAAAAGCTGCAGACATATGACAAGCAACTTTTGGAATTCAGGTGGAACTGAAAATTGTTTCTGTTAAAAGTGATCTCTAAACTGCAGTACACTGTGGTGAGGAATTTGAACTTCCTTGATCAGGTCTTCATCTCAAATATAGAAGCATGCAACAAAAACTCACCTGTGCTCCATGGCTATTGACAGAAGCAAGCAGCATCCCAGAAACCATCTGTGGTGAAATAATAAGTTGGCAAACAACGATTTATAAACATAATGTACATAATGAAGTGATTTATTTTTGGGGGAATGCACAACATGCTTTGACAGACCAATGTTCTGTCGAAACATAGCATGTTCCCCAAAAAATAAATCATTTCATCATGGTTACAAGTCATTGTTGCCAACTTATTATTATATTACCATAATGTGCTTTTATACTCAATCATCTCTGATGAAATTCTGAATGAATTTAGCAATTTTATGACTTTCTGCTTCCTTTAGATTCATCTTCCCTTAGTAGCTTCAGACCCGAGGTTGACAGATTGGACACATTGTCCATGATAAGTTGGCTAAAAAAGCTGATTTCAGACATCTCTGAGAGAGCCTGAAGTTTTTACTTATACTGTCACATAGACAAGCAACAGCAGAGTATGGGTTTTCAGTGAACAAAGAAATGATGGTGGAAAACCTTCTTAAGCAGTCATAGCATATTGTTAAGATCATGTTCATAGTTTGGGAGGTGTGCTTAACATCAATTACTCCAAAGAGTTGTTCCTTTAAGCAACAAGTGCTATACAAAAGTACCAGACATACCTGGAAGACTGTCACAGAGAAAAGGAGGCTCAGAAGAAATTACTCCAGTAAAGATCCTTGATGAAGGAGATTGCAAACATCAAGCCAAAAAAGAAATGAATGGAGGAAGATGTCGAAATCCTCTTAAAATCAACTGAGAAAAGTGTAGAAAAAACCAAAGCAACTTTAAAACTGAGTTTCATTTCCAAATTAATCTTCTGGCATATAGATATGAAATGAGCATATTTCAACTTACAGTTATCTGAAGAAATCTTAAACAAGTAAAACAGGGAACAGAGAGCTTCTAAAAGTTGTGTAAATAATTGAATAGCTTTGAATAATTGAATAATTATTTGTGAATAATTGAATAATTGTCGGAGCCAGTCAGGGACTGAAATAGTTTGAAACTGATAATAAAGCACTAAGAACATAGGAAAAAGCAACCAGACTTTATCTTTTCAGCTCACACGCTGTCAAATCAGTTTTTAGGATTAATTTTTGGTCTAGTTAAAGTTTTAGAATTTGGACTTACACAGATAGCTCTCTTCTGTATCCTATATGCTAAGAAGCATCTTTCAATTTGAAATGTTAAATATTATGCTCACACACCAGTTTTTCCCATTGCAAGGGTGAATAATGTACTTCTTTTTTTATTTTTCAAGTTATTAGTCATTTTGTGTTGGGCCAGCTGACATTCATTCCCAATCTTTCACATGTGCATCGTCAAATTTTATTTTTTCATTAATGTGCTATGTCAACCAAAGTACATGTGATAATGAAACACTTTTATGTTGTTAGATGTGCTGTTTTAACTGATCAGAGAGCCAGTGTCATACTACTCAGCTAATAATAAAATCAACTGAGCAATGAATAACATATTTTGAGAGTTTTATTTTCCTTTTTTCTTGGTTCCAATATATTCATTAATTTACACCTCACATGTTTATCATTAGTGATATCTGATAAACTTGTTTATGTGTGTTATAACTTTAGAAGATGCATCTGTTGGAGCCAGTCAGGGACTGAAATAGTTTGAAACTAATAATAAAGTACTAAAAACTTAGGAAAATGCAACCAGACTTTATCTTTTCAGCTCACACGCTGTCAAGTCAGTTTTTAGGATTAATTTTTTGTCTAGTTAAAGTTTTAGAATTTGGACTAACACAGATATTGGAATTTAGCATAAAGTGATCTTATTTTATGTTTGTTTAGATTTGGTACTACTGCAAAACAACTGTTGACAGAATATCTTTTACTTTATAACATATAAACTTTCAAGAGTACAGTTCTTTACGGTGGCAGACTGATGCACCTTAGGCAATAGTAGTTGAAGTTTCTCTATTGAAAGAATAAAATTGTATTATTTTTGAAAAATAACTTTAACTTGGTCACAGCCTACACTCCACATTTTACAAACCTGCCATTTTTTTTGATCCAGGTATTCCATGCTTGATTTGTTGCTGTGATTTTTGAATTATACAAGCAGGAACATAACAATAATAATCGTTAAAAGTGTAAATTGCTGATTGTATGATTATAAATATTTGTTCTGTAGCTGCTAGACTGTATGAAATGGTAGAATACAGTTTTGTAATTTAAATTTCTATATAAATTATCATTGATTGCTTTAGTTTTTATTTCATCTTTCTCCAGCTTCCTCACTTTAAACCCTACGTGAGATTTTGTAGCTGTCAGTTGAATGCAGCTGCCATTATTCAGCAGAAGACAGAGTGTGTGCCAGAGTTTAAGAATGTCACCAAAGTGAGGAATTTTTCATTTATATTGAATTTAAGATGGTAACCAAACTACAAAAGTTTTCATTTATGTTAAGTTTGATGGATGTTTCTAAAATGGTATGATTTTTTTTAATTGTTAACTTTAATGATAGTAACTAAAATGTCAAGCTTTTCATCATATTAAATTTACAGGTGATTACGAAATTCTGTTTATTAATGTTAAATTTAAAGATAGTAACTAGAATGATATATATATATATATTTTTTTTTCATTCATGTTGAATTTTAGGATGATTATTAAAACAATGCTCATTTTATTAGTATTCAGTTTGTAAGATGTTCTTGAAAGTATTTTGAATTCTGAGAATATAATATTAAATAACTGGCTTTATGGGTTTGCAGTCCTTTGGTTTCTAAGATTTTTTAAGATAACTTTTGTTTTAAGTCTTATAATGTACTTTCTGAATTTACAAATATGCCAAATTTATATAAGAATTGTACTGACAGTTATATTTTTTAAAACTGAATTCAGTAAAATAAGTAACTTTGTTTTTCTATTAATAAATACATACCAACTATTCCAATTTTTCACCTTTTTTTCCAGACCCTTATCCAGCAGCTTTTCTGCTTGTTGAAATGTCATCGGCATTTATGCATTAATATTTTTCCACTAATAAATTTAGCAAATATGTAAATATTTAATTGAATGTGATGATTTGCAGAGGTACATTACTTTTTGTGTTTTTATATGAACATTATAATTATCATGTACATTTCCTTTATGTTTATGTTGTTAATGTTACTGTAGCATTGTGCTATGGATCCAAGAACTAAAGGAATGCCATTAAGTAGTTTCCTTCTGAAGCCTATGCAGCGAATTACTAAGTACCCACTCCTTATAAAGAAGGTATGTTTAAAACTTAATAATTGCTTCTTAAAAACATAAATATTGGTCTCTGATAACTGATTTTATGGTTCTAAAGTGCTTACTCCTAAAAATGAGTTTAAGTTTGAATGATATGAATTGGATGCTTATTCCAAATTGTGGCTTTAACAAAAAGGATAATAGTCAGCAAACAAAACATTTTCTTTTACTAAATTTCTATCTAATGTGAAGAAACTAATTTCTAAAGTCTTCATTATTCTGTTGATGCTAGCAATTCATGTTTAGTAGCTATATAAGCATCCCTTAAATGTTTGACAGATGTTACATATCTACTCTTCAAAATTGACCTGCAAATACCATCTGTCCATTTTTAGAAAGCTTTATTTTCAAATCATGGGTATTTTCTAGATTTTAATCATTCTCTTTTACTTTTTATACCTTCTTATCCTGTATAGGGAGATGACTATTTACTGTTAAAATGTTGATAGATAATCAGATAATGTTGATGATTAATAAGGCTCTCCCCAGCCTGTTATTCATCTGTCAGTACCAATATTCTAACCTATGCACCAATACAATAAAATATGTATATGTCAGACACTTCTTTTGACAATAAATGAGAGCTGTCCATATGTTTAGCATGAGCAAATGTTATTGTTTTCCTGCATACCAAGAATACCTTACACCATTTATATCATCTGGTGCAGTAATAAAGAAAAGTGCAAATACTTGGCATGATATACAGATTGGTTTGTGATACTTCTATCACTGTATTTTCAGGATTGAACCAATGCACTTGTTTGCTTACATGCCAAGCCTGTTGGGGAACAATCATTACAGTCCATGTTGTGTGCTTTAAGTCCTTGCATGTTTTGCATGTAATAACTTCTGATAGTTTAGTATAGATTGTATCACTGTTCTTGTTTACATCATTGGACTGAACAGTGTTTTTTGACTGTGTCAGAACACTGCTGACAACATACTGACCATACTCATGGAATCAACAAAGCTTAAACTTGAACAGATATTCTTTCTTGTAGATTAAGAAGATTAACAAGATATTATTCAGTGATGGATGCACAATGAAGTGGTTTATCTAAAGTCGAGATGATAGATGTAGATAAAGATTGTTGTTGTTTAGATCTATTGAGCATTCTCATCTACTCGCATCATTACAAATATTATTTGTGTTCTGTAGCAAGTCTCTATTTTTAATTCTGTAACTATATCTCTGCCAAATTTCAGTTAGAATATAGTAATAACACTGTGTATATATATCATGAAAATAAAGCTGAGCCACCAACTTTCAGTCACCATGTTTTTTTCCCAAACAGTGAATGGACTGTAGGCCTGAATTTAGTTTCCTTTGAAGAACCCTGATGTCATTGTCTTGGGCATTATGAAGTCTAGTGTTTAGACTTAACTGAAAAAGATAGTTCCGATATGATAACTTGCATCCACTCATATAATAGCCTTTCTTGTTCAGTGCTGCCCTCTATATGCACACATTTTTTGTTTGTCATTAGCCTTGACACTCCCACCTACCTCACATGTTTAACGTGGTACAGCTGAGTTGTAGCATGCAAACAAGCACTTGGCAACCCTCCACCAAAAGGAGTGTGACACACCCTCCTGACACAGCTAGCTCCCTCTATACTGTAGAACCCAATCTTTACTTATTTATTTGGCACAGTAGCCTAAAGATATATTTAAATTTTGCTTATTATTTATGATTTTTCAATTTGTTTTTTCTAGTTAACTTTCAGTTACTGTCAGTTGTTAATTTTGTTATTCACTCTCAGTTGAATTATGAATTCCGAATCACTGCTACTACCACAGTAGTTAACACAACTACTGCACCTCAATCTGCAGTTGCTCAGGCATCAGGTTCCACAATTTTGGCTGAGAAGGTCTCAGTTTCAGTTCATTGTGGATTGGAGTCCATTATGCATCCTGTGGTGTCTCCTAATCCTAGACCAGATAGTCCTTTTCCTAGCGAACCTGGACAAGAAATTGAAGAGTTATGTAGACTCTTTCCACCTCCTTCCTTTGTTGTGCAATTCTGTCTTTTCCCTGTGGATGCCCCCAGCCTGTTTTCAACCTTTCTGGATATGATGTCACAGGTATGTTGCCTTTTGTCTGTCACATGACTCCTCTCTTTCCCTTTTACATTCTTCCTCTGACTTCCTGTTTTCCCCTCCCTCCCCAGATATTTGGGTATCTTCTGACCAGTTGTTGGTTCATTTACATTCTGAGGTCAGCATGCCTCATCTTCTTCATACCTTAAATAATTATGCTTTGGCATACCATCATTTAGATTTTCCATTTCTCAACTCTCAAACCTTAGAGTCTTTGATCCAGGTGTGGAGTTCTGACCCTGATACTTCTGTGAGGTTTACCCAAGCCCAATTTTCCCACCTCCATTTGTCCCTCTCCACCTCCCTAAAATACCTCTCCTCCATCCATCTCCTGTTCAAGGCTATCCACCACTCCCCCTGTTGGAGGATACTCGCTCCTTTATGTATTCCAAATTGAAGGATTTGTCTTCGTTGGCCTTTTCCCTTCAAACATGGCTCCTCTGTTGTTGGGATCTCTTGGGTAGGGATGAGCTGTTAACTAACATGTTCATACATGACCTCCGTATGGCCCTGTTTTTACATAGAACAGTTTTTGGATATCTTTCTGACTCTTTGGAGTTCAGGATGGAGGCTGCTCATCATCACTCCTCCCTTACGTTCTTAGTGTCTCGCCTATCACAGCCTTTGCCTGTTCCTCTGTTCCAAGTCTCAGTGGCTAACCACCAGATTACTCATCACTGAGCTCCTTGCTATCAACAGTACCAGAGACTATCCCATAGGTTCTAACAAGGTTGGAGCATGGTTTGCCAAATTTGTGTGTCTATTGAACAATTTCACATGGGATTCTTGGGTGCTTCAGGTTTTGTCAGAAGGTCTTACACTTCAATTTCTCAACCACCCTCCCTTATCCCCACATCCCATCTCTTTCCCCCTCCTTGGCATCCTATTTCTTCCTAGCCTCTCCCCCAAGTGGTTCAGACTCTTCTTCTCAAGGATGCTATAGAACCTGTAAGTCATCCTTCTTAAAGATTCTATTCCAGGGTGTTTGTTGTTTCCGAGAAGACCAGGGACTGACATCTTGTTATAGATCTGTCCCATCTCAACTGTTTTATCACCTTTCCTCACACTTTGGTAGGTGTTTACATTGGGTATTTGGATGACAAAGGATGACATTATAGAGCTGCCCTATGAAACACCTTCCATTCTCCCACTTCTGGTAAACCTTCTTGTCCCTGGTTATTTCCTTCCTTTTTCATTCCTTTTGTTTGGTCCATCTGACATGTCCCTTTGTTCTGACAGATTGGGGTCTCAGTGTTGTCCTTGATGGCTTGTCTAGTTCTCCCTTTGAACCCATTGCAATGTGTTCCTTGTACCATCTTTCCCTTAAGACCTATTTCCTCCTTTCACATCCCTATTTCCCCAACACCATCTTTGTCCACAAAGGCCGAGTTTATCAATTCCATGCTTTGCCATTTGGTCTGGTGTCCACACCCTACAAATTCTATTGGGTGATCAGGGCCTGGTGGCTCAACAGAGCCAACACCACAATAGGTGTTCCCCTTCCCCTCCTTGTCCGGAATTGTATCTTTTATGGACACTTCTCTGATGAGTTGAATAATGTTTCTACATACACAGGAAATTGTGGGTCTTTGGTCGAATAGGGTATGCATGTCAATATGCTAGAGCTTCTTGCCATTCGTTGGGTTCTGTGTCATTTCCTGCCTTTAATACGAGGCAAAGCAGTCGTGATCCATTTTGACAGTTTGACTTTGTCTTTTATATGTCTATTGGTGTGTCATGTTCTGGACGCTCTGAATCTTAGTGTGGATTAATTTTCTCATCCCAACAATGTTCTCCCCAAGGAGTGGTTCCTCGATCCACAGGTGCTTTGGTGGTTGTGCAAACAGTGGGGTATTCCTCTGCTGGATACATTTGCCACCCATCTCAGTGCCAAGCTACCCTGTTTTTGGTCCCAGGTCCCACATCCTTTGGCTTTGGTGGTGGACCCCTTCAGTCAAGATTGGTCATCCTACCTTCTCCTGTATGCCTTTCCACCTGTCCATTTCCTTCTCTGAATTTTATCCATTATCCAGTCCACTCTGTGTCAGGTCTTTCCTGTCACACCTTTTTGACCTGCTCAACCTTGGTTTCTGGTTCTAACCCTTCTTCTGTCAGCACCTCCTTTACCACTTCTGCTATCCCCTTCCTTCCTACAAAAATCTCAGTTGCCAGGGTATCATCCCAACGTCGCCACACTCTGACATCATACGTGGTATTTGTCCAGACTTTCCACATGGGCTACTTCCATTCTTTCCCATTCAATCTACCCATCCTCCTTATTGGTATATGAGAGAAAATGACATGTTTTATGCCATTGATCTCTGTGCCATGGTTACCTTCCTTCCAATCCTACTGTTCTTAATGTGTCTGAATTTTTTACTTGGCTGTTCAACCATTGTTTTTTCATGTCTACCATTGCCAGCTATAGAGCAGACTTGTCCAATACCTTCTGTTTCCGATTATTGTTGAATGTTTTTTTCTCTCTGGTCCTCTCCCTTTTGTTTCATTCTTTTTGTCTCCTTCATTCTCCTTGTCCTTCATCCCTGCTTGATTGAGACCCTTATGTTGTTCACCATGCCAATCCCCAACCTTATTTCAAATCTTTGGCCACCTTTTTACCTGTGGATGTTGTTGGTCAGATGTTTTTGCCCTTGACATATCACATGTCCTTTATCACCATACCTATGTTTTCCTGTATCTGGATCACAGTTTTTCCCAAGATGTTGCCATCTCGAGATGGTGAAATCACATTCACTCCTATTTCCATAACTTCCATTTCCCATTTATATTCCTGATCCAATCTGGAATGTCTTCTATGTCCTGTTTGTGCTCTCTGATGCTATAATGCCTACAGAGCTCATTTCCTTGGTTCCCATTCCTGTTTGTTTATCAATTGTAACCCTTCTTATCACTGTGATATTTTCTCTACCACTGTATGAGATGCATTTGCCAACCTATCAGATTGGCATATTCTTCCTTGTCTTCCAATTCCCAATGTCTCATCGAATCTGTCATCTCTCCCTTTCTCTGGTTGACCATTTCCCATCATCCTTTGGAGGAAATAATTTGGGTTGGCATGTGGACCACATCCAACACATTCATCTCTCACTACCTTCATCATATGGCCATCTCCTCTTCATCTGGTTACTGAATCTTGCCTGTTGCAATTCTCCACACTTTGGTACAACTGTTTCTTTATTCCCCAACTTACATGTTGGATCCTCCTCTGTGAGGAGTGGTACCTGTCCAGATATACTAATCCATAAATCTGTACTGTATGGCCTCTCTGGTTCTATAATGCCCACTGTTGAGATAGGATGTTTCATAAGACCACTAGTAAGCTTATCTTCGCGGTGTTTTGCATCATGACTATGGCCATCCCAAACTGTACCAACTCATGGACTATCATGAGTAAAGCAATGAGTAGTGTTGGGGTATAGCGGCCCATCCCTTCAATCCTGGCTGAATAAATTGGGACTTGCCTGCTTTTAAAAATCTTTCTTCAGTGTTGTGTTCCTCCAGAATCCCCACAGCATTATTTCTCCCTCTTTGAATGGAGTATGAGAGTCTTTGCCACTTACCACCTCTTAGTTGCTGGGGTGATGGACCATGGAGGCATCCTTCTAAGTGTGCTCAATCCCATTCAGTTGAGAGTAGGGTGGTGGTGTTCTATCAGTGTAGGTGGTGTGAATGCTCCTCTTACCATGGATCAGATGAAAAATATACTCTATTCCACATTGTTATGGACTGATCCATCAAAATACATTTCACACCCATCCAGCTGGGACCCCTCATCCTACTGCTGCCTGGATGTTGGTTCTCAGGTAGTATGTGGTTGGATTAGAGCTGGACCAGCCAACATAAGTCTTCACACATGTGGGTTGTATGGAACCCTCATCCTTTTGTGGAATGGATTATGAATTCCCCATGCCACTTGGTTTTGGATTTATGTGACCTACCATGACACCCTTGTATGGATGTCAGTTTCATAGGTGGCCTGGTTTTGGTTGTGTACTGGGTCTGCACACATGAGCCCTGACTGGGATAGCAGGATAGAAGATATTTTTCTCATTTGCTTCCTTGTTTTGAGATGAAACCAGTAGTGACCCTCCTCCTACAACAGACCAGACAATAAATACCCGATGCCACTTGGACTAGAGTTGACTCACCAATTATGGTCCAATCGACTATTGGATTTACTTCATTTCTACCTGCTTTAGTGGCATGTATTTTGACAATGAGCGAAGTATATACCTGGTTCAGATGTGGTGTGGTTCTCCCGTGGGTGTGTTCCTCTACAGAAAGATGTCAACACTACATAAGCTCTCTTTGGACACTTTCTGAAGGGTGCTTATCCAGGTAAATCTTGCACTGGTCCCTTCACCAGTTCAGTGTGGGATTCTAGCTATTATTTGTGCAAAGTTAAGGTATCATATCGGAAGTTATAATTTTCATGAACTGAAAATATATATTCTGATAGATACCTCCTCTCACACTTCCCATCCTTCATCCCTACCTATAGTGCTTCTTTTTTGCCTAATCTCAAAATGAATATTTGGTTTGACAGTATAGAGGGAGCTAGCTGTATCAGGAGGGTGTGTTGCACTTCTATTGGTGGAGAGCTGTAGCATTCAAATTTGCATACTATAGCACAGCTGTACCATGTTAAAAGAAATGTGGGGTAGGTGGGAGTACCAAGGTTAGTGGTGAGCAAGAAATGTTGCATATAAAGGGCATTAGTGAAGGATAAAAACTATTGTATGAGAAAAGGTAAGTATCTACCAGAAACACATTTTGAGTTTAGGTAAATTATAATATTTGAATATTCTTGAGAACATAGTATGGATGGTTGTTCATAATTCACTTATCCAAGTATTTTGTCCTTGGCTATCTTTGTGGCCTGTGACTGCACAAATTTGGTAATGAGAAAGTACATGTGACTAAAATTCACTATTTGTAGGAAGATTACATTACACTGTTTTCCAACTCCATTATTATAAAAGCATGCAAGGCATAAAATTTTAGTGTTTTGATTTTAAAAAATGGATATCTGCAGTGTTGAACAATATTGGTAAAATGGGAGATTATAACAGGAAATAAAATAGAATGTTCCATAATCAGTTATAAGTTACATAATAAAGAAGTGAAGAAAGTTAAAATAAAGCTTGTTATTAGTAGTAAATTAACTGTACAGTGGTCCACTGAAGTTTAAGTAGGAATTGCTGTTGGAAATGTAAACTAGATAATTCAACAGGATTTAGTTCTAGAAAAGTGACACAACATTTGTGTTCACAAGCTTCTCTCAAAAAGCATAACCAAACTAAAAGTCAACTGTTGTAAACTGTATGAGAATTATAGGATGTGTTAGAAATGGAAGACTGTGCAAACAGAAAGCCAAATGTTTAAAGCTTTATGAATAGTATGGGACATGTTACAAATGATTGTATTCCAAACAGAAAGCCAACTACTGAAAGTTATATGAACAGTATTGGACATCTACAAATGGTAGTATGTTTTACCAGAAAGCCAAGTGTTCAAGCTTTATGAGCTGTGTAGGACATGTTACAAATAGTAGTATGTCCAGACAGAAATCCAACCGTTGATAACTGTGTGAGCAGTATGGGATATATTATAAATGGTAGTATGTTGTCACAATGGTTAAAGCAAAGGTTTTGTCAAAGAATTTATTGTGGTTGCATGTTACAGTTATAAATAGTAAATTGATTATCCATTGATTTGAGAAAGAATCACACAATGAATTTAGCACAACACCTGGATTAAGTCAACATGTCAGATCCTCTGCAATTCACAAATACAAATGGAAATTCATGCTACATTATTTGCAGATATAAGAGTTAAAAAGCATGCAAAGCAGAATAATTAGAGAAGTCTTACTAATTGAATCTAACAAACCTACTAATACCAAACACCCAAGCTTTCTTCTGTATATTTTTAATTATCATCCTCAGGTTATTTTCAACCTAATCAAACTCTGTATACATACATACATACACACAAAGAAAGAACTATAACACTGCCTTTAAACATTAGTAGAAAGTCTATAGAACAATTAACTGTTTATTGGTAAATTATTATTTAAAATACAAAAATAAGTTATGTTACATTATGGCACTTCATAGTGATCACATGAGAGATCAAAACTCTGTACAAATAAACAACTACAATGAAAATCAGCAATGTCTACAGATGTCTGTGAACATTGGGAAAATGAAAAAATGTGCAGCTGTTCTCTCTAGCTGAAAGTGTGTGATAGGTGATGGTATTTTTATGGAAATTGTTTTGTAACTAGAGGAATAAACCAGGTAAAAAATAAATATACTTTATGTAGATAATTGATCACACACCCAAGGATCATCCTGACATAGTTCATCTTGAGGAAGCTCTAATGTCAGCAGAACGCTTGTGTAGTCAAGTAAATGAAGGAGTCAGAGAAAAAGAAAACTCTGATCGATTGGAATGGATCCAAAAACATGTCCATTGTGATGGTCTTCCTGAAGTGAGTATATACACGTTCTTTACAGTGTTAAAATTGATGTCCATTAATGTCTTTTTGTTACATGTATATAACATATGTATCTCTACATGTATGTATATCTCTGCCAATACCTGGACTCTACATTTAGTTTAATTAGTGTATTGGAAATATTCAGCATATCCCTTAGCTATAGATGCTATTAGAGGACAGTAGCAACAGAATATTATAGAACTCTTTGCTTTTGACTTTTATGTACATACTTTGTTTTTCTATCAAATCATACAGTGTGGCAATAAGCCTGAAAAATCCAGGAAATTTAAAAAGTGATTAAAAAAATAATAATGGAAGTGCCAAGGAAAATCATCCTGCTTAGATAAGCCAGTTATTGGTGAATTTTACCAAGATGTTGCCCTTTCACTCTGTTTCTTTTTATGATAAATAATTTGACATATTATATTTAATATTAGGTTAGATCCAACACTCTTTTAAAATAAACATGTAAATGTCTATCAGTAAGTTACAATTGAGTTATGTGTGCATGTGCAGGTCTGAAAGATCTGGAATTTTACACTGAAATTTATGAATAAAAGTTTGAAAAGAAAGTGGTTACATTAACCTAAATATTTTCACTATGCTTTTCAAGGACTATGAAACGGTCTTTTAATATCCACTTAATAGCAAAATAAATCTGAATGAGAGTGCCCTTTATCTGTGACAGTTTTGATAGTGCTAGTTTGTTAAATAAGCTTGGAGGTAAAGAATTGTTTGCTTTTGAAAAACAAATTAAACCAACAAAGTAGTGTTAGAAAACAGCCACATTATTTTTGTCTTAAGAGTATCTTTTTCCAGTAGCAATCAAAAGTACATTTCTTAAGACTGCTAGATTATCTGTGATAATAGGTGTGGTCATCCATGTACTAAACTTTTATATTTGTGTTTTTTGTTGACTTACATCTTTTCTTGACTATTAAGCCTTTCAATAAGTTATAATAATGCATCTATGTAATCACAGCCCAGTTTCAGATAAAATAATGGGAAGAATTGTAACAAGATAACTGATAATAAAATGGGTTTACCCCATTGTTTTCTGAATAACATAGACTTAAATTTGAGTGGCTGTGAAGTGTTAACAAAAAACTGCACATGAATTGTTCTTTTGTGTTCCAGTGACAAAGACCTAAAAAGATAAACATATTTAAAAATCCTTTTTTTTTTTGATAGTATTACAAAAAAACCTAGTATGATAATACTTATTTAAAGTGCATTAGACATTGTATCTAAAGTGTAAAGCCACTGTGTTAATGTAAGAGAAAATTAAAACTTCTCCAAGTGATTACACTCAAAATATCAGATATTGTAAATCAATTACAGAAAGAAATATTAAGTGGTCAATAAAACAAATCACAAAGTGAAGTGCGGTGTTGAAATTATGTTTCCCTGGCTTTTTTTAACCCCTTTTGTGATTTTGCCCTAAATAACCCAAAAGTCCTCCACGTTTCTAAAAATATTTACCTGAATTAATTCAGGCAAACCATTTCTCACTGCACTCTTAATTATTTGCACGTTATCATGTATTACGACTGTCAGTGTTCACTAGATTGCACTAGAATTGCTATTTGTGCTGACCTCTATCACATTTATTCTGAATCATGCAATTTAAAAACTGGAGAAAAGCATTCCTATTCTGTACTGCAATTTCATTGAAACGATACATATCACACATAAACTCAGATATGTAACATGTATTTATCGAGTATATTTTGTGCAGGAATATGTGCAAATGGTAAAAAGAACTTTTGTTTCACTAATATATAAGTATAGGCTATCAAAAAGCAAAATAAAAAAAACTGACTTTTTCTTAGTTCATTTCCAAAAAAAACATGACACTGAAAAGATTAATCTTCTTTTTTCAGTTTTTATGTAATAATTGAATTTTATAAAAATGTATCCTAAGCTAAAATAAGTTTCTGTGGCCTATTTGAATGTTTTCATCCTTTCATTCAATGTTCCTAAGTATTTAAAAGAATATTTTTCTAGATGAATTTTGTTAAACTTGAAACAATAGTTTTCAAGTTTTGTAAAGGAGGCTATGCTGATATGAGATCACTGTATTGGAATTGAACTGAAGTGGCTAGGATTTCTCTAGCTAAATAAAATAACAATACCCTATCAACAAACATCATTGAAATTTACCAAATGGTTGTTTTATATAAACATACTGTTTTATCTACTGACCTACTTGTTTAATTTATTCAATGTTTCCAATTTGAAGCATTTTTCATAACATGAAATTTAAAGGCTTTAACCCTAACTCCCTGAAAGGTGAAAATAAGGCATCTAACAAAATCAAAAACTTATTCCACTAAATCATGGGCAAAAGCTTAATTAGAAAAAGATTATTTCACTAATAAATTGTATCAATATAAAGTCATAAACATGGAGAATGGGAAAATAATAACATTACTATTATATTTTCAAAGTGAAAACCAAAATATGAACAAGACCCTATATAATATACTAGTATTTTAACAAGTGTGCTAAGCTCTGAATTACTGCAGAATATTATTAGTCATGTTTTTTCTCGATTCTTACCTTTTATCATTGTAATTATGTATATAATAGTTTTTTGAAAATGTTTATTTAAATATATTAATAATATATATTAATTAGGATTAAAGTATTGATTGATAAGCAAATTTTATTTATAAGTGTAACTATATTATCTTACTTTTTAGGTATTCTATATTTGTATTATCATTTGAGGATAAAAGTTACCTTTGCATGTGTTTGCTTATTTCATAAGGAAAATGTTCATCATTTAGCTTGTTTTTCATATGAAATTTTACTTTTCAGCAACTAATATTTAATTCCATTACTAATGCACTTGGACCTAGAAAGCTTCTGCACTCTGGGAACTTGTTTAAGGTTAGTAAAATGTGGGTTGATTCTTTTTTCTTTTTTTTTGTACACTTTTTACAAAGATTATCTATTCAATGATGAAACTTCTAATGATATTCATGCAAATTAATTTTTACTTTTTAAACAGTTTTTAACATTGTAGTCCAACAAATTATTCTGAAACTGTTTATATATATATTTATTTATTTACTTATTGAGCCCTAGAAACTCAATGGTTTAAAATATAAATAACTTTCTCATTTATCAGTGGGATCATTACTTTATAGTTATAGTTCATTTATTTACTTTGAATATTTCTTAAATAAATGTTTTTTTTCAAATACTGTTTCTAAGATTTATTTCAAACTCACAATCATAAAATGAATTTAATATAATTGCTTAATAAAATAATTTTTCTTGATTCTTACAAAATAGCCAAATAATGATTATTAACGAACTTATTTTAAATATTTTAAAATAATCTTCGTAATATGGTACTGTTACTAGATGCCTTCATGATTTTATTTTCCTTGTGCTGTGTAGTTCCTACACATTTTACAGTAATTAATTTCTTAATCGTTTATTACTGAATCAAAAAGAAAATGAAACTGTCTTTCAATTGATATGAATATCTACATAATGTTTAAGCAATATAATGAATGCCCCTGGTGGGTCAATGGTAAGTTTGAGGGCTTATAATACTTAAAATCAGATTTCAATATTCATGGTAGGCAGAGCACAGATAGGCAGTTGTGCAGCTTTGTGATTAACACCAAACATACTCCATGAACTAGCTCAAATAATGTATCAGTAGAATTTGTAATTACAACATACTGTAGTATAATAAACTATTTAGGTAATGTGGGTGTTTTTGTATTGTTAAATATTGTTAATACTGTATAAACTGGATTGTATGAGGCATAACTCTTCTATGAACCACTTGAATGTTGATAGACAGTTAATATTACCCTTTCAATTTAACTTTATTATTATTTCTTATATTTAATTTGATTACTCAGGAAGAATGTTTTTAGAAAGCTAATTTTTCAGATGTTTCCTTTTTGAGTGTACATTAATGTGAAACATAAATTTTTATAAGTACACTTTAGAGCATATTTGATAAGTTAGTTTCCCTTGTGAGTGTATTTCAAGAATTGTTTTCATAATGATAGTTGTTAGTATATATTTTGTGTAAACCTTTAGAGAATTTATTTATTTTCAGACAAAAAGTAACAAGGAATTGATGGGGTTTCTGTTCAATGACTTTCTCCTGCTCTCTCAACCTAATCGTGACCTTGGCAAAGTCAACAATGTATTCATCTCAGAAAAAGCACTGAATACTCATTACAAAATGTACAAGCAGGTACAGTGTTTCTCATTTCAGGTTTGTATATAGCACAAGTAAAGAAAAAACTTAAAAGAAAAAAGTAAATTTAGGGATGGTATTTACATCATCCCTACATAATTGCACAGGTACACAGTGTAGTAGAATGCTAACAGACAAAAATAGGATAAATTAAACTCAGTTGTGATTGAATAGTTATATATATATATATATATTGCTCTATGATAATTGTTGCCTGTGCTATTATATAGGAATGATACAAATGCCATCCCTACTATCTTATTCAATTTCTGTAGTTCATACTGGTATATAGAAGACATATCAATACTGGAAATAAACGACTTTATAATTCCAAAATTGGTGTTATAAGGTCGTTTATTTATAGTATTAATATCCCTACTATCTTGTTTGCATTGTTTTAGAAGGATTGGTATTAGCCATACCTACATTTACTTTCTTTTTAAAAATTTTTTTCTTTACTTGTTTGCTTATTGTTGTTTTTCAATGCAGTGTTTCAATAGACATGGGAAGGTTGTATTTATAACCAAGTTCTAACTACAATGAGGTTCCAACTGTAATATTCATTGTTTATCTATTATTGGCTGGTAGTTCCTGTTTCATCCTATACTTAAATTTTTTAAATGAACACAAATTTCTGAATGAAAGCTAACTTCAAGGGGTAATGATTACATTATTCAGTGTAAAATATAATAATAATAACATGTAAACATAAATATTTACTGTGAAATAAGGTAAGACTTAACTTTAAAGTTCTGTAACGCACAATTACTCAGTATAAGATATACAAGGTGGCTTCCTTGACTTCTATAAGACTATATTATGCATTGTGAAATACATAATGAGGAATATGTGTTTCATGTGAACTTAATTGTTTATTTCTTCATATTTAGTTTGCAACTAGCAGCAGGTATTCATCATTTTTTGTCCATTCAACTGTTAACTATTTATTTAGTCATAAATTATATTTCTTATACTTCTTGAATAAAAGTTATGTTCTCTTTTAACATTAAACTTGTTCTTGAATTCAGTAGATAGTAGTATATATGTTCTTCCCTAGTTCTTCTATAGAAAATTTATACTTCTCTGTTTAACAATAAGTTTCTTCAATTCCATAGGTAGTAGTACATTTCATGTTTTAATAGTCCTTGTATTCAAAAGCTACATTTCAATCATAGCAGAGATATTGTCCATGAATTCAGTAAGTGGTACTATATTTCATTGTTCAGTAGTTCTGGTATTCAAAAGTGATGTTTCTCAGTTTAACAGTAAACTTCTACATGAATTCACAAGGTATTAATGTATTTCATTGTTCCCTAATTCCTGTACAGAAAATGTATGCTTCACTATTTAACAGTAAATTTTCGTAGATTTGGTAAGTAGTAGTATATTTTAATGTTCACTTGTTCTTGTATTCAAGGGCTGTATTTATGTGTTTAACCCTTTCGCTACAGGTAGGTCAGAGTGCTCATGTCATGACCTTTTAGAGAGTTTTGTTCAAAATTTAATTAAACATTGGTAATAAATATGGCATCAAAACTTAGTTAATAAATCAAATTTTAATATTGATAAGGAAATATTTAAAAATATCATCAATCTTGCTTTGTATAAGAATTGTGAAATTTTTTCTCGAGATCTTCTCAACTCTAATTTATTTACTATCCCTCTCTGAAGTACAGAATAGTTTATGAATCAGTAAACAAATAAGATTGAAGGCTATAAAAATTAAATTTTGCCTTAGTATTACCTATATTATAATAAGTAAGTTACATCAGCGAAAATTGTACTCACTTGCCACACCCACCTGTCACATCTTCTCTTTTGCAAATTACCAATAGTTAACTTTGACATTTTATACTATATTATTTAGAACCAATAGAAAAGCAAAATTTCAGTTTATCAAATGACATGTTACATTATGTTGTTTTCAGTACAGAATATTGTCTATTCCAAGACATACTTACCTTCTCTCACACTACAGCTATTACTTGACTGCCAGGGTTTTCTTCCTTTGCCCATCTACAGGACCATCTGAAACGACTGGACATCAAATGTAAAGAATATAATGTGAAAATAAGTACAGAGAAGACGGAAATAATGTCTATTGGAAGACAAAGAGAAGAAATTAAAATTTGGGTGAATAATACTGACATCAAACAGACAAGAAAAATTTAAGTATTTCAGAAGTGTATTTACGGAAGATGGTAAAATGGACAGAGAAATAAATATCAGATGCACCAAAGCAAATCAGATATTTGGGCAACTATCGCCACTGCTGCAACATAATCATATCCCAATCAATACAAAAGTTAGCCTCATAAAAACTATACTCCTGCCAACACTGTCAGTGCCACACCTTGACTCTAACAACTTTACAGAAGCGTAAGATCACTACAATGGAAGTGAAATGTCTGAAATGAGCCTCTGGAGTATTGTGCCAAGATAGAATCACAAACGAAGATATCCAAGAAAGATTGGAAATTAGACCAGTCCTAAAACATATTAAAAAACAACAAATAAAATGGTTTGGCCACTTCACTATGATGCTTTGGAATAAATTGTCAGAAAGAGCAACAATACAACAACACAATGGATACAAGGCAAGGGGAAGACCAAGAAGAAGGTGGAGTCAAGACATCATAGATAACTTTAAACACCGCGGAATCACTCTTAGAGAAGCTCTGAATAGAGCACATCAAAAGTCCCTACATTTTTCCTGTACACCTCACGGTAGACAGAGGAAGGAAAAGTAAAGTAAGCCCATCCAAGCATTGGACTGAATGTTTCTCGCTTTTTCCAGTCTTTTATTCTACACTTAATTTCCTTTGAAAATATCTGTCATGTGATGCTCTTCACCTACATCAATGTGCCCTCTATCCTAGTACTGTGTATAAACACCTCATTCAGATAATATTAACACTTTTTCTCGACATAGCGTTCACTAACGGGTTTCTTTTTTACTACAGTTGCTGGAGATACTTTGAATTTTCTTCGTGTTATCTAGTTGATTTTCTTAAACTCTGATAAGTAATGCTGCTCAACAGTCGAGGGGGGGTAAGATTCACTCTCAGTTGAGACTTTTAGTGATCTTATTTGTAGTGAGATAGAGACATATATTCAGTTCAGTGGTGATCCTCCAGGGGGCTGAGGCTGCAATTGAGGGCAATCCTAGATGTTCTGGAGAGAATTTGGATTCGCTTTTTTCTGTACCTTCCTTTATTCTGTTGGCTTCTCGGGTGGCCACTTTTGGATCAGCTGCCTCGGACTCCTTTTTTGTATTTGGACTATCAAGAGTGTTATGTTTTGGGTCTTTACCCAGCTGCTTTTAGCCTGCACCTTCCTTGATTGATGAAAGATCTAGGAATGAATATTTAGTTCTCCCTTCATCCATTGATATTGTGGTTCATGCTGGAAGGTTTACTGCTCAGTTACCTGAAGGGACAGCTATGTCTTGTCTACCATTGTTGTTGGAACTATGTGATTTAGCCTACCACCGCCAGGTGGAAGCATATTATGACTCTCAAAAATTACATCTGCTCTTGGAAATTTGGGGTTCTAGAGTGGAGTTTGTAGTTAACCTGACTATATTACAACTTTTTAGGATATATTATCACTCTAAACTTTGTTGGAAGGCTCTGAAGATTACCATGTCCATTGATGACAAGTTGGAACCATCGTTAGCATGCACATTGGTTCGATTGTCAGCTTTTACATTCATCCCTGTTATTGTTGGCATCTCAACTTTCCTCAGCCTCTATAGGGGTCATAGTTCCACCCCTATTCATAGGTCCAGATCCCCGAAATCAGCCCCTTGGTCCATTGGTACCCAGAATAGATTCTGTTCATATCCAAGGTTTCTGCCACTTGGTCAGAATGCTGCCAGCAGCATTGGTGACTATTGTATGTCTGTGTGGGCTTGGCACCAAGAATTCCTGAACATGCAGTAAACCATAACCATGGATACATGGACACTACGGGTCCTTTAGTCAGGATTAGTCATTCATCTCATATCTTCACCACCATTATCCACCCGACCTGTAGTGTTTCTGCCACCCGCAGATCCTGTAATTTCAGAACTTTGTTCTAGGACTATCAGAATTTTGTTGGTCTGGGGCAGAGAGAGAGTCGTGCTAGTTCTTCTAGAGTTTTATTCCCGCCTGTTTGTTGAGCCCAAGAAGATTGGAGATTGATATCCAGTCATCAATCTTTCTCGTTTATATCAACTTCCTAGAGTCATTCCTCACTCTGAGTTGACATTTTTTACTAGGATTGTGGATGTCCAAGCTAGATGTTGCTGACTCCTATCTGCACATTTCCATAGTGGTGGCATCACACACCCTAGATGTGTTTTATGCACAAGGGTCAGGTGCTGCAGTTCAGGGCTCTGACCTTCAGACTAGCATTGGCACCATATGTGTTCTGCCAAAGTTTTCTCATCACCTCCTTTCACTAGGCCTGCACACACACCATTACATGGACGACTGGTTACTGCTGGCACCATCTCATCAATTGGCAGAATGTCACACCCAGATTCTAATTTCAGAAACACCCAAGGCAGGCTTCATTATCAGAGCTGAGTCATCTATTCTCGCTCCAGTACAATATGGCCCAGCATGGCCATGTGATTAGGGAGCTCGACTCGCAATCTGCAGGTTGTGGGTTCGAATCCCTGTCTCACCAAACATGCTCACGCTTTCAGCCATGGGGGTATCATAATGTGATGGTCAATCCTACCATTCGTTGGTAAAAGAGTAGCCCAAGAGTTGGCGGTGGGTGGGGATGACTAGCTCCTTCCCTCTAGTCTTACACTGCTAAATTAGGGATGGCTAGTGCAGATAGCGATTGTGTAGCTTTGCGCAAAATTCAAAACAAACAAACACAATATATCATCAGTCTTAGTATCACATATCTCAGATGAGCTCAGCCATTTGTGTCAAGTTATGGAACAGGAAGACCAACACTTTATCTTTAGGAAATATGGGCATCACTCAAATCCCTCA